TTTATATGTAAAAAAAGTTTCAATAACAAAAATTAATTATATCTGGAAATTATATGTATTAGAAAAATACATTAGCTGGACCAGACTCCCCCCTTAAAAAACTAAATCTGACCTCTCTATTTCTATATTATTGTAATACAATAAATTATGTGATACAAATAGTGGATCTCTGTTCATTTTCACATTTTCACATTTTCTCATTATAGAGTCTTATGTTCAGCTCTGTAGGCGCTAGTCTACGGATCGTTCAAATAATTAACTTGCACACATCGTGAATTGAGATATATCGATATATGTTCATGTTGAATACAAGTACAGAAAATAAAGAATAAGAAAGAAAACAGAAAAGAAACCAGTCCTTCGCTTTTAAAAAGATCGTAAAAATCGCGATAAAGGCACACATTTCTTCGTGACCAAGAGACAATCACGCACACATTCTCTGACAATCTTTCGTCGTTAAGAGTTCAGGCATCACTCTCCAATACGCAATATTTACGAGATTCCTTTTCCAAACTTGCGGAAACCATATTCATCGGTAGAAGGCGATAGCCACTAGACGATAATTCTTCGATCACCGATACGCGCCTACAGCTCTAACATCGTCTTAACGATTAAACAAAGCGAAAACTGGAACAACATTAAGGAGGCTCTAGTGCAAATAGAAATAGCGTCAAGAAAATTATAAAAATTGCCATACAGGTTAGATTTTATCCCCAAACACCCACACAAATTTTGGGAAGGCTAGGGTACCTAAAAGCTAAGAAATAAATGTTTCAAATTTTCACTTTTTAACGTGGACTCTTATGGGAAACTGCGTTTTCAACACACTCAATTACGTGCTACAAAGTAATTGGCGCCGAGATTGGATCGAAAATTTTATGCATAATAGAAAAAATATCTAAAGAACATATATTGATTTACAAAATACTCCGAGGGTATTTGTAGTATGAATAATAAATTAAAGAATACTAGGATAATGCGTTTTGTCTTCTGCTATTGACATAGTATGAGAAATCTGGCACGCTGTACGAGAGGTTAGAAAACGCGCATTCAAATACAAATAGTACTGTAGTTCCTCTGAAAATAATTGATTTATATTACTTTATGATACAATATAAATATAATAGATATAATAACGACTAAAAATCTATGTTTAACGTAATTTTTGTTTATTTTGATATAAGATTGCGAACAATTGTAATATTTTGAATACTATGCCAGATCTACTACTACGTGAATCAAGCGACAATATTAACTCTATATTGACTTACAGCGTAACTGTAGGATGTCTTATAAATTACAAAAAGAGTTCCTTAGAACCTTATAGGAGTTGCAAATATTTAGGATTTATCATCAATTCCAGAGAGTTAGCAGTAGAATTAACAGAAAGGAAAAAAGATAACCTTAAAAAATGATTAGAGATAAGAGATTTCGTAAAATAAGAGATTTCGCTAGATTTATAGGGGTCTTGGTTTCATGTTATCCTGCAGTTGCATACAGCCCTATATATTGTAAGAGACTAGAAAGAGAAAAATATTTAGCATTAATAATGAGTAGTGGTAATTATGAGGAGAAGATGATTATACCGAGTTCTTTGGAGGAAGATTTTGAATGGTGGACGGAAGCTCTAAAAGTGGGAAAAGCTCCTATAAGGCGCAGAAACTATAAAATAAAAATTAATGCTGACGCTTCGCTGTCTGGTTGGGGAGCTTATTCAGATGGGAAATCCACTTATGGGTTTTGGAATGAGGTTGAGCAAAGGTGTCATATTAATTATTTAGAACTTTTGGCAATATTCTTCGCTCTTAGATGTTTCGCTTCAGACTTGGTCGATTGTGAGATATTAATTCGAAGTGACAACGCGACGGCTAATTTCATATATTAATAGGATGGGAAGAATAAAAATTCAAAAATTTAATAATTTAGCTAGGCAAATATGGAAATGGTGTGAAGATAGAGGGATATGGATATACGCATCCTATGTACCATCAAAATTAAACGTTGAGGCTGATATAGCCTCTAGGATAAAGAACATAGATACAGAATGGGAATTAGCAGGATTTGCAATAGAAAAAATAGTGCAGAAATTTGGACAATTCGATATAGATTTGTTTGCCTCAAGACTTAATAAGAAATGCAACACTTTTTGTTCATGGCATCAAGATCCAAAGGCATTTAGAGTAGACGCGTTTACCATTTCCTGGAAAAAAACTTAATTTTTACGCTTTTCCCCCATTTTCCTTAATCTTAAGGTGTTTAACGAAGATTATTAATGATAGAGGCAGAGGAATTATGGTTGTACCATATTGGCCTACACAGCCATGGTATGTTGTGTTTCTATCGTTATTAGATGACCCTCCTATAGAATTTCCACCTAATAGGGCCTTATTATTATTTCCGGACAGGAAAGTGAATCGCCCTCTAGCGGAGAGTCTGTCCCTGATGGCAAGAGCATTATCATACAAGCCTTCTTAAAGAAAAATAATTCCCAAAAGGCTGCAGAAATTTTATTAGCGTCCCTGTCATCCGCAACACAGAAACAGTACAGTGGATGCTTACGAGACTGGTGGTCGTTTTGTCGGAAGAACAAATATGATGTCTATAATGCAGACAGTAATATAATCGTCGAGTATTTAACTAAGAAATTCGAAGGGGGAGCCCCTTATGGCTCGATAAATTCGATAAGGTCAGCAATATCACTTATATCCAAACAACCGCTATCATCCGACGCTACAATTAATAGATTCTTAAAGGGCGTGTTCAGATTATATTTACATTCATTCGGAGATTATATTTACATTCATTGAAAATTTACCGGTTACCCTAAGTTTACAGGAACTTACAGAGAAGACAATAATCCTAGTAGCGTTGGTAACAGCTCATCGTGTACAAACACTATTCAAAATAAGAGTCGACAATATTAGGAGATCGAACTCCGGGTTAGAAATAAAAATCCCCGACCTAATAAAGACGTCGAAGCCAGGAAAACAAAGTGTTCCTCAACCACCTCAACCCACCTTAGTGCTACCGTTTTTCAAAGAGAGGCCAAAACTTTGTGTGGTCATCACAGTTTTAGAATATTTGGAGAAAACGCAAGACATCCGCGCTAATTGCAAATACTTGTTTATTTCAATAAGAAAACCTTTTAGCGCAGTAAGTGCGCAAACACTTAGTCGATGGATAAGACAAGTCTTATCAAATGCGGGAGTCGATACATCAATGTTTACTGCACACAGTACACGACACGCAGCCGTTTCCAGGGCATACCGGAACGGGGTTGACATTAGGGTTATTAAGAACACGGCAGGCTGGACAGAAAGATCCATGGTTTTCGTGAAATTTTACAACAAACCCGTTAAAGAACCCGAAAAGAAATTTACAGGGGCAATATTCCGAAATACTTCGTAGACAATTTCTTATGTACACAAATATTAATAAAACAAATAAAGATCTGAGCTCTTAACATCTACATGTAATCATCTCGAACGAAGATCTCACATAAATACGATCGAACTTCACGTACAGGTAAGTTCGTTTGATCGTTAAATGATTACGTTATATCGCGATAACTAACGTTCGAGTCATATTTTAACATTTCTTATATTTGGGTTCGTATAGATTATTCGTATTAAAAATAATGTAAATTATTCGTATACATTTAGAGAAGGCAATTTCGTCAGCTTTTAAACGACAAATGAATTTTGATATGCAGGTTAACGAGCTGATTAGATTATCTTTAAGATAAACTCAGCATCGGATTTTCCGTTTGAAAAACTCGGCTGTATGCGTCACCGCCATGGCAAAAAGAACTTAGGAGAGTAGACGACGTATCGTCGTTACGAGTGCTCATTATTCAAACTTACCGTGTTCCATTTATCTCAGTTTTACATCGCGGGATGTGAAGATGTGAGCTGTGTGACGATGTCGGCAACTCAAGATCTCTCGCATGCATTATTCACAGTTTCGTATTGAAATTGCACGAGGCACCAGAGCCCGTGCAAGAAAATGGAAATGCATTTTGTTTATCACCTCCTTGACGTATTGCCAAACATCTATCGTACAAAGAGTAATTTTTTCTATCAGTCTTTTAATTCGACGGTATCTGTACTCTGCATGATCATTCTCGGATCGGTTTAACCTGATTCCCTTCGCGGTAGATTCGTGTCCATAACGAAGAAAAGTAACCTTATTATGCCCTTTCAAAATTATTAAAAAATTTTTACATCGCATTTATCGATTATACTATATTTTATTATGTTTCCTCGCGTACAACCTCATTTAGAATTATTCTATATACGACCATGAGAAATATAGAATTATCTATATTCTATCAAGCGTTGAAATCGATGCTTTCGGATAAATCGTTATCGTCGTAATACAATAGTGCCTATTCACCATTCCACGAGTAGAATGACGTATACCTATTGACTGGTATAGTGTCTCCTACTGACGTAATGCCAAGGTGCGTCTCCATACCTGTTTCGAATAATGCACGCGACGAACAATGACGTGTGGGGATGTATGTGGGTTACGGGTCGAGCAGCTGTTGCTCTTTACAACTGGTTCCTCACACTCCTGTGGGCGCTCACAATGTCACAATGACGTGTGAGCACTTGTGACAGCATCGTGTGGGTACTACATACTACATTGGAGTTTGAATTACAAGCGTTTGGCTGCACGCAAGGCTGGCGCGACTCTTGATGCTCCAAATACGACGCACACCGTACGCGCATTTCCAAAACGCTACCGATCAACGCTCGCGTTTACTTACTTTGCCTGCAAAGCTATCGTTAAAACTATGCTTTACAGCCATGCAAATTTACGTGTAAAAATACTTTTGCCCGTTACGAGTAAAGTATCCATTTGAAAAATTGACCGCAATCTCTAATAGGTGATATCCGTCGTAGAGTTTCGCAAAAGACGTAACCAGTACGCTTTGACGATTTCATTCTGTTAGGAACTTAAAGGTTGACTGGGCAATAATAATTGAGTCAGTGGTCTGGTAGAAAAGGGTTTATTGCACGCAGTATTTTCCTTGAACACTCTTCGTCGGTTAAACTCTCCTCTTACCTACTACTTCCAGATGGCGCTGGCGCTTTTCTATTTTATTCGACAATTCCACAACACATTCTACACCTCCAAGCTTATAATCCGCGAGTGTACGTTAACCTTAGCGTAAAGTCCACATCCATTAATACGCGGTGCGAGTAGTTCAATTTGGTAAGATACGTCACGCATGGTTTGTAAAGCCTCGGCAGCTTTGCCCTTCTCGACACTATACACAAGGCTGCTGCAGGGTTGTATTTGCCGCCTATCGAGTCTGGATCACATCACGTCGTGTCGGATCGCGTTACGCTCTCGACACTGATCGGAGATTAGCACCGCTAACCCCTCCGCCCAACAATCTCGTACTTTTCCCCTCTCCCTTTGCTATGGCGACCGTACGGCATCCCTCCGATTGCATTCAAATCACGCACAAAGAGCTTAACTTGAGAGCTTCTCTCGTAACCGCACACTAGAGCTGCGCATATCTGACACCCGTATCTAACGGATTTTTAACGACCTTTTGTTAGCCAAAAAATGTATATAAGCTTCTGAGAGTCGAGTACTGCCCGCAAAGAGGACAGCGCGGGGAAAAGATGATCAGATACCGCATAGTTGGACGTAGGTTGTACCTTTTCGAATGTCCCTTTAAATTGTTGCCCTTTCAAAGAAAACCAGCTTCCACGCTCCTTCTCTCTCTCTTGTCTTCCTGTGAAAACAAAGTTGTCGAAACTGAACCGCTACACGGTGGTAAAAACTTAGCTAAAATTCCAAAAATGATAATTGCTGTATTAAAATGAATACAACGCCATCCTATTTAGTGACAAAGAGTGCATTTCAGGTAAAAATTTCAGAAGGCTATATTTTATACCTGGCATGGTAGGTCAGTTCAATGTTGCCGCTTGTAGAAGCATACACGCGACGTCTAGCGTACTGTGAATTTTTACGTGTGTTTCAGTGAGTGATTTTTTGTTGAAGTGGTATTTTTTATTTCTGTAAAATGAAGAATTTTCCTAAAGGTATGTACAATATATTCTATGTTGTTGATTTTATTTATCGACAATGAATAAATACTAAACATGACATTAAAGAGTGTCCGCGAAAAACGGTAAATTTACAAATAGAATTATTTTCTACTTATTGAAATATTAAAGAATCAGCTGCAGTAACCTGCAGGCTTGGTTTTCTAATCACTTTTCGTTTAGACTCACACGATTATTTCGGTGATGTCGGCCATATTGAATCCGTCATTTTGAATTTCGAAACTTTGATGTTTGATTTATAATCAGCGACCACAAAAACCATAATGTACCAATTTTTACGCAAATCTAATAAATTTCTAATATATATATATTGGCCATATTGAATCCGCCATTTTGAATTTCGAAACTTTGATGCCTGATTTATAATCAGCGACCACAAAAACCATAATGTACCAATTTTTTCGCAAATCTAATAAATTCCTAATATATATGTTAGCCATATTGAATTTCAAAATTCTGATGTCAGATTTATAATCAGCGACCACACAAACTATGATGTACCAATTTTTATATTTTAACGTTCATTTGACAACGTAATAGGCAGCGACATCGTCGTAGTAGGTAGTACATACATACATCGAACGTCGAATGGTAACACAACTCTCTTAGTTCTAACCGAAAACTTGTTTTTATTCGATGCGTTAAACAATTCGGTAATGTGGAATAAGCAAGTGAGTTCGCATTGTAAATCAGGTTACTTTCATGCGATTGAATACAACGTGACCTTAAATCGTACCTTGCAAATGTTGCATTTATAGAATTACGCGGTGCAGAAATCCGGAAATTGAATTGCCGTTGACAGGTTCGCACTCCTTAAACATATCCGATAATAAATGATTCTCGTGCGCCGTACCATCTCGTTAGTTCCTCGTTCAAGCGCAGTCGTGTAACGTCACGTTGAGTTCTCAAGATGGCGTTCCGAGCACAAGAGAACGATTTTGCTAGAGTCGTTAACACGATTCAGAGCCACGCCTCCTTCGACGAGGTTGCCTCCTTTTCCGTTCAAACACGTTGCGCGCAAAGAATCAAAAGGTACTCGAGACGAAACCAATCGTGCTCGGAAGATCTAAAAAGCGAAAGATAATCACTCCATTAGAGAAACTTTAACAGGATTTACTTATTCCGAGTGTCGTTCGTTCGCTGATTCGTTGATTAATATTCTACGTCGAGAAGTGAGATCACAGATAAAACTAGAAAATTCGTTTTCTTAATCGGAGGAAAAACGAACGATTGCGTTATCAAATTGAAACTTTTTGACAAAATTCTGTAAAAATCAACGATTAACGTTACGATCCCGTTACAATAATTATTCTAAATTTATGGTGTTAATAATTTCAAATGAAATCCAGGACCAACAAGTCGTCAATGTTGACTAACTCGATTTACCGTTACAATTCCTTGTCGATCTTTTAAATTCGTAACTCGGGCACTATTTGTGAGTGCATGCAATAAAAAGTAGGTTTGAATTTCGATGGAAACAGGTCAAGTCGGAATAGAGATAGATAGGTTGGTAGACAAGCATGGTAAGATGATAGAATGGGCCTATGCATTCGTCCGGTAAATAGCGTGATTGATCGATATTATATTCATAACAGGCAACGACTTGTCATCAATCATAGAGGTTCGCATATAACTACGGTTCTCGGTAACATTCCTGGTTAGTTGGTATAATACATTACGCTCCTAGTTCGTATCCTGACAACCGCGTGTTCTAAAATTATTTCCTTGTAAGTATCGCGAAAGCTACTACCTTTGCGATATTAATAACAATAAAAGTCGATAATTACACGAAGTTGTAAAAAGCACTTACTTACATGACGTGGCCGATGTTAATACGCAAAGGAGCTTTAGGATATTGTTTTCTTATAACAAAATACATCTGTCAGCGTAGAAAATATGATAATAGTAAAATAAGAAATAGTCGATTATCGAGATGATTAGCTTAATATTATCTTTCAGTAGGTATGCATATGATTTCACATATTGATATCGGAGCTCGATGGGTTGACGCGTGACTATGAGTTCAGTGTTGACAACGGTAGCCTTCTCTTACCGCCACTCGAAGTCTCTCAGGTAGTAGGATCCCGACAACCTAAATAAACAGGTTAGAATAAATAAGAGCTATTCTAAACGTCAGCTCAGTGTTTGCCTAGCTGTCAGGAAAGTGAAGGGCACTCTCGGTCTCGAATGGATACCGAATCGGCCGTTTACAGCCCTCTTCCTGTGGGTGTACCATCGTCAACGGTGACAGTTCGGTAATATTTGTATCGATGAATCACCGTCATTCATGATAGATGAGTAAGCGCGTCGAGTGAGTTTTTGTAATTTTCTGCCTCTAACAACCATTTCGACAAAAATTAGTTTCCTAAAGGGAAACAAAAAATTAATGTACATTCGAATTAAACAAATCGAACGGTATCGCGGGTGTCTAGGTTTGTTTGCAAAGCTAACCAATAATAAGAAGTTCGTGTAGAAATATTTTACTATTATATTATCAAAAAATTCGCTTGTTCATACCACACGTACGTTTCTTCTCTTACGTTAACGTAGCTGTTTGAAACAAATTTTCTATCCCGTCTTTTCCTTGTCTCTTCCTTATATCAACTTCCCTTTTCTATTTAATTTGTTTTAGAAAATCGATAAACGGTTCGGAGGATGATAAAGTGTTTCCCAAAAGGTTCTTTAAAATTTTATTTTTTAATAGAAAAATACGCCCGTTAGCGTAATCGTGGTGGACACTCGACAAACATCATCTTTCACGTTTAATTGTACTAGCATGTACTTTCATTTAAAATTGAAAAAGTCGGATATGCTCTACACGATTTGCGTTTTCTTAATAAACCAACCACCTGAAACCCCTTTCGTAAATAAATCCCGTATATTTATTTTAGATTTAGTTACCGCGCAAAGGGATTGCAAAGTATAAAGAACGGAGTAACCATGGAGATGAATGGAACCAGCGAAGGAAGCAAATAAAATTGAAAGCTGACGTCTGTCTGCGTGATCCTCTCACTCGTGGTCTTTCCGTAGTCTGCCAGCATGACACCGAGCGACGCCTTCTTTATTATACATTCAATTATTAGGCGCTGCGCATGACAAGCACTATTGCATATTTATATCTACCATCCGAAGCGAGTTCAGCCGGATAAGAGGGTTCCTGACAACCCATCACGCACATACGTTAACATTGTTAATAACGCACTCCTCTGTATGCATACACATCGAAGCGCTCACGTACATATACAAAAACGTACACGCATACGTGTGAAGAATATACCACACACGCGAGAATATAAAACATACGTATACATAGTGGCGGGATACGCGCAGAAACCGTCCTGCTGCAGTATAATTTCAATACACGAGGAAGCTAACAGCCTTTATAACCTGTTTATTACGATAATACCGTAAATTTGCATCGCGTGTTCCCCGTAATCGCTTGCCGTCGCGGATGTCATATTACGTTAACTACAGTAGTTAAATAGGCATCCTGGGGATAGGCCCAAACTGGTATACCGAGGAATTTGTGTTCGTCCTATATTTACGTGTGTATGCGAGTATCAATTTCAAGGCGGTTTAATGAATTTTAAACATTTTTCATCCTAGCCGTTTCGATAGCGATAGACAAATACCTGGTTGATCGTAAAGACATATATTTTTGGACTCTTTATTATACCTATAACTTTATAGTACCCTTTATAGTACAATGTTTTCGTTTCCCTTTGCCGGTTTAAAGCCTCGACTAGATACTTATTTTGTGCAACATACACGCATACGTACATATGTAAATCTTATCGCGAGCGTTTCTCTGACTTTGAGAACAATTAATAACTTTGCTACATACGTAAACACCTACACACAATCTGTTTAACAAAACAAATTTTACACGCGAAACGCAAACTGCTTTTTCCAAATAAATTCCAATACGAATATTCGTATTCGTGGTAGAAAAATCCGAGCCAAGGTAGCAGCTTTTTCGTCAACAAAATGCTGAACTCCGATCGTATATCAGACACCGCCCACGGCGACCGTAGCTTCATAAAAAGAACAAAAACTTTCTTATTTTCCCTGGCCATGGCCGCCTGCTTTGATATACGATACGTTTGTACCGTGTCGGCCAAAGCCTTCGAAAGCCGACCATCTACCGTAACAGCATTTTTATGCTAAACTGAACGGTGCAACTGACAAGAATTGACAGAGTTCGAAAAACAGCTGACAGTCCGCCATGGGACCACTCCGCTATCCGACAGCGGTAAATTTTCAACTGTCTCTCGGTCACTTTTTCCCCTCTCTTGCAAAATAAATGTTCGTTCGATTCTACCATTGCATGTGTGACTTTTGCTATTCCATATGTATGTGATATGTGGTTGCTAATACAAATCTCGGATGGAAATTTCGCAAATTTTGCGTTTCAATTTCTATTCGAAGCCACCGAAGCCGCCATAACGCTACGATTTTTTCTTTTCTCGATTAACTTGATTTTTCTAACCGAAAAACTGTAATTGCGATTAGTCGATCCTCGCTTCCTTAGCTACGAGGGAAATGTTAGGATAGAATATTTGTACTGTAGAATATTTTCATTTTAGTCTTACTGCGGGGTGGTTTCTTCCAAAATTTTTGAACGGATGTTAAGGCAGTTTAGATTTTAATAAATTTTTGAATTCTAAGATAATGTCAAAAGAAATTTCTGCTCCTCGTGAATTTATAATACAGAATTCTCACAGACTTCTCATTCTACGCTTGAAAGATTCTTGTCAATTCCAGTCTTCACAATTACGTCAAAATGAATGGCGTCGATTCACGTATACGTTAACCGTGTCTTATACTACTTTCATGGTATAAATGCTACACAATTTAGAAATCAACTTATAGGAAACTAATTCCAGTTAATCACGATACTACATGTCAGCGAACACTTTACAATGCCTAGAAGGCGGCACAACAAGGATGTACATTTAGCGCCGATGTTTTCGCCAACTGCTGAAACACTGTTACACGGTAAAGACGTCGGGTTAATCCCATGATGTTGTTGTTTGAATCTTCATCAGTAAGAAAAACCTCAAAAGAAAATACCCTTCGAGTACAAGGTGATGGTCGATAACCAAAATTAATGCGATCGACGAACGATTGACATTGCTGTCATCGCGTCAATTTGCGTCTTTATTTAAAGTGACTAAGGAATATTGTACATCCTTTTCGCACTACTTTGTGATGCGCTATTTTTTACATTTCTTACATCTTATCTATCTAACTCTCCCGCTCTCATCCTTCCGTTCCTCTTCCTACCATTTTTTTAACTTTAACTTTAACTTTCGTCCTTCTATGCTTTGTCTTGACTTTATTTCTTCATTAATTTCTCGTTTAATACTCATCCTTCCTTGCTTTTTGTACACAATTTTTTAACATTCATCCATCCGTTCTATACTTTATTCAATCTCTCGCCTGTTCCTATTTTTGTTATATTTACATTTCAAATGTTTTTTCTTTTCTTTATTTCGCAGCTTCTCTTCGCATCTACTCTCATTCGTGCGTACTCATTCTTGAGAGTGGGATGCTAGGTTTATTATTATTATACTTAAGTCTAATATAATACATACGCTATTATTAGTATTCTTAATATTTGCAAGCCGAGCCTGCCTTTTTTGTAACCTCAGTCAGACTTTTCACATTCTCTTTATACTCTATAATGTATATGGACAACTATCCAAAATAGAATAGAAACATATTACATATCTCCTTATAACGTTCTTTTACTTATGCTATTATCACATATTAATTTTCTTTTCCTTTTAAAATACATTTACTTTGGTTTCGTTTTACTCTTTGTACTTTTATTCTTTACCCCGGCCTATTCTTATCGAGAATCTCGCGATATTTTTTAATTCTACGTTATTTATCACAATTTAACTTTTATCTATCGCGTTTGTCTAACTATGGTGTTTCTCAGTCTTTCAGTTTCGTCATATTTTTAAATCTTCTTCCCTATCTCCTTTAGGAATTGGTTGATTATCTTGAATACTTTGACTTTGTTCAGTCTTATCAGTGCTAATGTGGACTTCGTCTATCTCCTTCCCTATCCTTTCCAATGCTTTCGTTTTCTCGAAGTTGCATAGTCCACATTCGAACAGCACGTGGTCGATGTCCTCCTCGTCTTGACCACAGTCACACAACGGTCCTTCTACTATATTTTTCCTGGCCTGCGACGCTTTTAGATTGTAATGGTTACACCTCAATCTAGATATGGTCCTTATCATTTCTCTGTTTAGTCTATCTCTGATTTTCTGGAACCAAGGTTTCGCTGTCATCGCGTATTTGCGTATTTGCGTATTTGCGTCTTTATTTAAAGTGACAAGGAACAGTATTACATCCTTATTTCACTACTATGTGATGCTCCGTTATTACAATTCTTTCTTCTTATATGTCTAACTCTCTCATCCTTTCGCTCTTTAATTTCTTCTCCCTACCATTCGTCTTTGCTCTCATCTTTTCCTATTTATAACTTCTTGCTCAGTCTTTCATCAACCGCTCCGATATGCATTTAAACCTCCTCGCTTTTATGCTCTTGTAACCTTTCATCCTTCCATGCTAAACTTTTATTTTCACATTTTATAGTCTCCCACCCTTCCACACTTGGCTTTATTTATTTACATTTTACTTACATTCGCTTTTTCATTCCTGTGATCACTCATCCTTTCATACTTCGATTTTATTTACATTTAATTTGTCTAAACTTATTCCATTCTTCTACTCTTTCATCCTTCCATACCTAAGCTTTCGCATACTTGAACTCCCATTCTTTCCGCTCTCATCGCGGTCCTGGATCCCGAATCGAAAAGAAAGACGGTTAGTCGCACGCGAGCTCTCACGCAGTTTATATATGTATATGTACTCTAAATAATATTTCTTTATTTCTATTAAATAAGTTCATTATTGTAAAGTGTTCTCTCATTTACAACACAAGGACTCTATGAATCGCATAACGAAGAGAGAGCTAATTATTATCTTAATTAGACTATTTATTAATACCTATGGATCATATTAGTATTTGCGATTCGCCATGTATGTAGTAGGGTCGCTTCAAACACCTCGAAATAGCCTTGAAGCTACTAGTTTGCTATTCCTAATTTATACCATTTGTAACCACCGAAATGTTGCGGTACATTTCCAGGGAAAACACCTTAAGCTTGCTGCAAACTGTAAATGGATTTCGCGAGTACGCTCTTTACGTTTATCCCGAGGATTTGCACCTTTTGAAGTCGGATATCGTACCATCGCTGTCGTCGTTGCCAAACTAAGATTGGTCTTCATTGTCCACCGCTATACAGACAGGACAGGGGGAAGCACGAATATCAATGTAAAGTGAGACGGGTCTTGAACTGGGGGCAATCTGGACAGTGCATCGGCCAATGGATGACAGGTATCGACCTGGATCAACATCGTTTTCCTGTAAAGTGCCGCAGCCCTATCCCGTCTTCTCGCTCGCTCTTGTGGTCTCTCTCTCTCTCTCTCTCTCTCTCTCTCTCTCTCTCTCTTCCTCTCCCTTTTCCTTTATAGTGTTCCTTCCTGTCTGTTCACCGCACGTCTCTTCCTAGCTATAACCCAGGGCGTGTGTGTACACGCTTCCACGGACAGAGAGAGAATTATTATCCGGCCACTCTACTCCGCTACCTACCGTGTTTCTTGATTACTATCGGCGCAGCTGCGCCCACAATTTGTGTTTCCCGTCAACCGTGCGTAAGAGAGCCGTCCGTCAACGTCGTGCTCATAACGACGCCAGCAACCTCCGCTAAGACGCCGCTGATAGTTTGATATAGGCACATATCCATCATAACTTCTCTTGCATCCTTTTTGCGCGCGGATTTACCGTTTTGATGTAGCATATCCCTCTTAGGAACACGTACTTAGATTGCTTTATCAAGATTAAAGATTCGCCTGTAAATACATACGAAATGTTTGTCAATATGGTAGAATTTAACTTATTCAAACAAATCGAAAGTGTTAGTGAATATGCGAAATTACAATACGATGCAAAGGCTGAACAGCAATTGATGCTAAACACTGAGTCGAAATTTTCAGCAACTCGATAGTAAGAAGACGTAAGAGATTTAAAAGATTACGTCACCTTGGCAACGTCGGAACGGAAGAAATCTTCACGAATTTTTCTTTTCTACACGCGTGATGTGCGAGTATTTCATCTTATACCAACTGTTTCTACAGTGTTTAATTTTTATCCGTAAATACAATACATACATCTATTATTTACTTATTAATCGATAAATAGAGAAAGAGTCATTGTTTCCTCATTCTTGCGAATATGGAACTATAATTACAAAATTTCAATCGTTTTGCCTGTATCGAATACACGACGCGTAATTATTCGAATTATCAGAATGTACAGTGATGGTTGACTATTTTGCTTCGCAAATATTCCTTCGGTCGAGTAATCCTATCCGACTAGGGTATTCGAGAGCCCTCGCTATACATCAACGCGCCAAGCCGTATCTGTTAATCTGAAGAGATATGCCTAATTCCATCTGACGTGTTCTTTCATTTATTCTTGTTCCATTCGTTTCAAAAATCGTATAAAAAATAGTTGAATATTCTTGATTTTCTTTCAACGAAAATTTCAACTCGACAAACTAACCGATGCGAAACAAATAATTACGAAATCTTGTTTTCTTTCTTTCTACACAAACTTAAAAAAATTCAATTATTTAATTTATTGGACAAATCCTTTTCTTACTTCGTAACGATTTTTTTACTTGAATAAGTCCTGGTAAGTCAAGTTATTTTTTTTGTAAATATGCAAATTGGCAAAATAAACAAAATATTATTGATACGCTAGTGCAGATCGCACACAGTAGGATAAACTAAACATTATTTAACGCCATCGTGTAATGACAGTGTAATCTAAATGTTCAATGTTGAATAGAAAGTAAGTTGACATCTTATTATACGGAGCATACTTCGTTCAACGTACTCCGTGTCTTCTTTCTACATTTCATGTTTTATTCAGAGCTCTGCAGCCAAAAACCTATGTACTAATTCACCTTATTTCCATGAACATCATTTCCGCTGGAGAGAATGAATCGTCAGTCTATGCAAACGAACAATCTTTATCGAAATATTTATTAGTAACATTCTAAAATACACAATCAGGGGCTAAAAAAACACAATCTAAGTAAGGTACAAAATATGTTACTAAATTATTTTAAGGTGGTTTGGTTAAAAATGATAACGGTTTAGATTGTCTCATAAATGTGAAAACTTAAAATTTACATCTTAATACACATCTGTGTGAAATATGGGTTCAATGTACCGTTTAGTTTGCTAGATATTTATGATCACTTGAAGTTCGTGATTTTTCGTCGTATTTGACAGGAGACTTATGGCAGCCAACGGAAAAACAGAAATTTTGTATGATACTTTTGACTCTAAAACAATTAGTACAATACAGATCGAAAGATAAATGAATGGAAAGTAAATTAATAATTGTTGAGTATCATATTTCAATATCGGCAAACTTGCTCGTTTAGTACCAGACCAATATGCGTTAGAAAAAGAAATCAAGTACGATATTTTTTCATGCAGACTTTTATCTCGGGAACGTGGCAACGTCGCATATAAATATGGCCGTTGCGCGGTATTTTGAAAAAGAGGGGGCGCTTCAAGATTCTAAAACATAACAATTAAAAATTGTTTAATCTTGTTAAACCTGAAATGTTAAAAATTGAAATGTGAAGTTGCCGCGCTCGTGCTCGATTTCGCAACTACTAAGTTGGATAAAATAATACCTGAAAAACTAATTGGAACTGTAATTGTATCAATTACTACTTTTTTTTAATTTTTAAATCATTATTAAATAACAATTTAAGAATTTTATTATAGAAAATATATCGTTATTAATACTTTCTGTATATGAGTTTTGTTTTGACTAGTACAGTTGGGGAAGAACCACCTTACGTCGAGAATATTTTGAATGAATGCATAAGACCGATAAATAAAATTCAACAGCGATGACGAATGAAAACACTCGAAAGATGCTAACCGATAACATTTCGAGGTACGTGCTTCAAATTCAACGACTCCGGAGAATATACATAGAACCTGTAACCGGTGTTGTTAAAGGGAGGAAATTACAGCAGTTGCGTGTAGGGATTAGAATGTAAATTAGCTTCGAGTCCCGTCATAATGCGATCTAATCTTGTTATGTTTACGAAATATGATGCTGATGGAGCGCTTGTCAATCACTTTTGGTAGTAGGAGGCGACATTCATTGGTTAGGAAGCGACAGCTGAATACGGACCAAGGGAGATATCGTTATTTATGCTACAAGTGTCCCCGGAACTCTCCATCGTGTGCACAAAAAAATGTATGGCAACCGATTTTAATCCAAACTAATAATAAAACTTCGTCACGAATATTTTTCAGTAATACTTTGTCGGTATTCAAAGAGTAGTAAGTGTAAACCCACATTCCAACGGTAAGTCACAGAAAATATTAGATTTGAGAGATTGTTGTGGTTTAGCTGGCCTAAGGATAGCCTATTTTCAGAAATTTCTTTTGTAGAAATGTGTCTAATTTGTTTACATCGTAAGGATCCAAGTTGAGGACATGTTTAAATGTCTGCGTTTCCCACCGCCGATATAACTGGTGTATTTAACCCCAAGGAACTTGATAATATTTATGCTTGACGGACTATTCAACCAAAATTTCCGTAAGTTTGTACAGTTTTCGAATTCCGAAGAATCCTTTTGGAGAACATTATTAGATACTCTGAAGATTCTAGAAACACAATTTTAAAAGTATCGATTCGTTGAATGGGATCGAATGACAACATCCCCTTAAAGTCGAATGAAGCGTTTAAGACCGATCACCCAAGTAACAGTTACAGTTATACGTTAAAAGACAGAAGAAACAATTCTTTCTTTTTAAGGAAAAATTTGCGTAACTGTCGGCAGGTGCTGGTAACTCGGGTATACAATACACGAATGGTGCGAAATACGCGTAAGATAGAAGGTTAAAGGTGTCAGCGTTGTAACACGCAACACTGTCCGAGCAGCCAACTATTCCTAGGCAACGAATGAAGTCACCATGCCGCGACAACTTGACATGTTGGTACAGAGGCCACACGATGATCATACGAGCATTAACAAATAGCGGACCACACACAGGGTATCTACCGTCCACTCCACCACTACATGTGTAGCTCTGAAGGGAAGTTCATCATGGGCAGGTGGTCACGAATCATGGCCGCCCCTGTCCGCTATGTCAGTTTCTCTCGCATCAAGCAATTAAGGCGCATGGGAAGGTAGACGAGCATTAGCCATTTCGTCTGGAAAACGAATATTGCAGGATATATGTATGTATAATACTTGTATCTTTCAAAAGTGAAATTGATGTAGAGCAAATACGCATGCGAAGGAAAATGTGAACAATAGAGCATACAATGTAAACAAGTTTACAAAAGTATTGTATAACCATTAACCATGCTGCTCTCTCTCTCTCTCTCTCTCTCTCTCTCTCTCTCTCTCTCTCTCTC